GATGTTGTTCAAGCAATTGTTGATGCTGGTGGAGCAATCAATGCTGAATCCATAACACGAGCAACACCATTGATGCGTGCTATTGAAAGTTCATCGTTTCCAGTTGTCGAATATCTTGTTAATAAAGGAGCTAAAGTTATGCATGAAAATATTTCTGGTCTAGAACCATTAACTGTAGCAGCAGAATTTGCTGATCCACGTATCTATCATTTACTTAATGAAAAAGTTACTGCTATTGCTGGAAATAACAAAAAAGGTCCAGCAGCAAAAAAGAAACCAGCTGCAAAAAAACGACCGCCTACAGGTGGAAAAGGCGCTGTAGCTGACGTACGAAATTGAATTTAAACTATAAATATTGATTATATTATTTCTTTTTTTAAATAGGAACATGCTCCACATACTCTGGTTACTGATCAACCACGACGTGGTTCTTTATTACGTGCTGCTGCTGAATTAGCTAAATCATTTGAAAAAGCTGATTCAATTGCTTTTCATCCTAAAACAAAATGGACTGAACTACCAACGACTAAAGATCTTATGCATGAAAAAACTGTTGTACGTGATCGTCTAGGTTGGGAAATTGATTTTCAAGATTATAAAATGCCATTTATGAGTAATCTTAGTAAACGGTTAGAACAAATGACATTACCTGAAGTCAAAATATAGTGACATTATGTGCCTGGATTAAATTGCCTTTTTCTTTGAGTGTGAAATTGCTTTATGTATTTTTCGTAAGACAATATTTTTTATTACCTAATTTGTTTAATACCTTCTTACATTGAATTTTGATTCTCTTTTTCACAATAAAAGATTGCTACCATATTTGTTTCGTCAATAGTTATACGAAAATTCAATAATCTTATGATATATGTTGATAAGAAAGATATGAACGACAGTATGTTAACTTTTAAACATAAGATTAGTACAGAAAAATATTATTGCTTGTGAATAAAAGATCAAGGTGTATCAGAACTCAAATTTTTATAATATATTCAGTCCATTTAGAATATTTCTGAATATTTTTCAATGGTGATATTCATACTATACATTTACTCGATTTTTATTTCACAGTCAGGTCATAATATTTGATTAAAAGTTTACATCAACGATAAGGTTTCTTCGATAAAATTCAATGCAGTTCTTTACAGGCTACAAAATAACATAATTTTCATCTTCTCATTTTCGTGATTAGATATTTTTATATCGAATATACGGTCTAAAACTAGGATTCGACATTCTCTGCAATGATACTTTTCGCTTGTTTGATTTGGTATGCCTCTCAATCGAAATATGTTGTCATATCTTTTCATACACATTTAGTCATCAATTACCAAAATAGATAATAGTTATTTAATAGCTGAAAAACAAATCAAAAGGTGATTGTAATATTATGCTCAAAACTAGTCATACCATCAAAATCAATTGTTTAGAAAATATTCTTTTATTAAAACTATATAGTATATAAAAATATAAAGAAATATAGTTTAGTCCCCAACAACTTTATATTGTCAGTGTGACTTGGTTGATGGTCCCGCCTGTACTTGTGAAGTAGGATTTGCCGAAAGAACAAGTGGTGAAAGCTCCCCTTTGATTAGTAAACTGGCTTTTCCTAACCAACAATAATCTGTTCCATTTGGTCCATGTATTTGAACACCAGTAAACAAAGCATATTGACGATCTTTAAACTTTTCTGCATCGTGTTTCACATGTCTTTCTAAATCTATTGTAATTGTTTCATAAGCAGCCATAGTAACCTTGAAGAGATCTGGAGTACTTTCAGGATCGGCCAAAAGATTAGTCTTCTTAGCGATATGTTTTTTTAACATACTCATTTCAATATCATCTTCATTAAAGGCGAGATTGAGTTTCTTTGATGCAATTTCATTAGTAAATGCAGCAAGTGCACCACATGCTGTTGTTTTTTCGTTCATACCACTGCGTGTCCTGTAAACAGCACCAACATTTCCTTCATGATCAATGGCAATATGAGTAAAACAATAATAAACGAAGAAACCATTACTAGGTGCATGATGATGAGCGGCAGCAAAGCCAGTTTCACCACAAAATAACATACCACCAAGAGAACC